GATTTGGCTAATTTTAGTCTTGAAATACTCCTGGAAGTCCAGGAAAGGTTTAAAAGGTGAGAAAAATTGGAATAATTGCCGGGAAAACCTTAAAAACTTTTCTATTTCCCATACAAACGTTTTTTTTTGACATTAGATTTGACAACTAACTAAAATGTCAATCATTCTGTTTGATTGAAACAGGAAAAACCTGATTATTTATGGCCTCTAAGATGGAATAGAGTGCGCCCGGTCAGCTATACATACATATATCACTCTTGACCAAACTAACGCGGACGAAGTCGCGGGCAAAAACTAGTTATATTATATATGTATAACACTGTATTGCTTATAACGACTATCGGATACAACGTCGGCAACTATACGGTCCTTTTAATGTCGTTTTAAACAGTTTTGACTGTAATTCTATTTAACGATCTTTTTAAACACAACGTATTATATGAGTTTATAACAGAAAAAAAAATACAATCTAGTTTACGTAATAGTACCAATATGACCTCAAAATAAGCTCCAATATTTCGTGTGTCCATCAAGTAGAAAACCTCATTTAAATAATAATTATGTTGCCATTGTTATATTATCTACGATTTAAGATACTGCGACCTTGCTTTCTTTATAAATACCGAAGCTATGGACCATATCAAAAAGAAATAAATATATACGCAATGAAATAATAACACATATTGTTTTATCATATTATATTCTAGTTTTTACATTTATCTTACTTATTTCGACTAATATTTCATAAACTTTGCGAAATTAATAATAAAATACTTCAATCCATTTATTTAGTTGTCATATTTTGTAGAATGTTATGTAAAAGAATTGTATTGTCCAACAAAGAATCCTTTATTACAAGCGGTTTGTTTCTGATACTTAAGAAAAAACTACAAAAAAAACGACGTCATCTTTGTTGACACTTTTTTGTAATGTCGAAAAGAATTCTCACATTGATAATAATGTTCTGAAAAGATGGCATTTTAAAACTGTTATAACTATCGTTTGAGACTAGTTTATTACTTTATTTCGGTTAGTGTTGAACTTATAAAATACGGATGTAGATCCATGTAGGTTTTAATGAAAACTAGCAATACTAAGATTTATGTAAATCCCGAATAAAATCTCGCATATTTAACACTATTCAAAACTACTGCTTAATGAACGTAATTTACTATCATAAACATATTAAGTTATACATATTATATTAAATAAACGTTATGATCTATCAAAATTTTAACTTTAAACATAGTCACTTTAAGACAGCCGAACAAAAGTCCTACTAATGTCAAAAGAATTTGTTTTTACCGCGGTTTCTTAATCCGGAACAGATACAAATGTCAATTACATAATATATAAAATAAATTAATAATCTCTTATTATTTTTATTTATTCTTTTATTGTTATACTAATATAATTACTATTAGTTTTCTAGTTTTTCATTAACGAAAAAACTAAACGTGGATAATTTGACGAACTCATAGTAGTGGTATTTCCGACAAAGCGCGTCAAATTGGAAGCTATTTTGACCTTGATCCAGATTAAGAAATATTATAAATTGAATTTTGTTATTGTAAGTTATTTATTAAAATTATCTTTTAGCTCATTACTTTGTCATTTTCGTGGATCTAATATGTTGTTTTTTTATATTGCAACACTTAGTATATCATTATTATTGCAAATTGCAACGAAATATGTATGTTGATAAGAAATTGCTTTAAAAGACGTGAAACCGTTGAATATACATATAATAAACATACATAAATGATGTAGGGGGTTTCCTTATAAGTGCTATTTAAAATAAATAATATTATGCACTGGCATACATAAGGCGGCCAACTTTCCGAAAACTGAATGCGGGACGTAGCCTTTCGTGAATGGCGGGGGGGGGGGGGCGGGGGGAGGGGTGTTAGGGGTTGGGAATGTCATCAAAATCTTCGCAACTGCCCATATTAAATTTAAGTACTCTGTACTGTGGGTGTTGTGTAGAAGTCTAGTAGAAAAATAGGGATGCGGGACATGCGGGACGCATACAACGTTTTGCGGGACTATTTTGACTAATAATTTCAAAGCGGGATTTCGTCTAGAATTGCGGGACGGTCCCGCAGAATGCGGGACGGTTGGCCGCCTTAGGCATACATATTTAATAGAATTTGAATTAGGTACCTGCATATTTACTATTACAATATATTTATATAGGTACATAGTAATTTTAAATTATAATAGTAATTATCATCCTGTATGATTTTTTTTTTCAAAATTATGTTTTATGTTTTTCAGTGTTTTGTTACTCTATTCTTTTTAAATTTAAAACATAAGAATGTAATGCAAGTTGCAAACAAAAAAAGGTAAATAAATAAATCTAAATATTATAACGCCATTTTAAAACACAGATTATAATTATCATGTTCATAATTATTCTGCCATAGAATAAGATGTAGCTACATTTTCATATACTAGATACATTATTGCAAATCAAATGTAATATCGTTTGAAATTAAAACAGTACAATTACTATAATCTAGAACTTACCTAACGTAAGCTATCTACACATATACATCACAGAGATTCACATCTTATGGGAACTTTAATGCCATTTACTAAACCACTCTTCCGTGATATCCACTGTCCTTATTCTGTCATTGTACTTACATTGAAACGGCCATTAAGATTAAACAATATTAGGATTTTATTACATGTTACTACATAAAACATAAAACTACATACAGATGAGATGCCCTGCCCGTGATCACGATTGCTGAAAAGTAGCCGAAACGTCGGGAGTATAATAATATATTTATTTTTTTTAGCCTATCAGAGCCCACTGCTGAGAGGCCCCTTTCTCTCATGGAGAAGGTTTCAGCATTAATCACCACGCTTGCTCAAGACGGGTTGGTGATTTCAAACTTATTATTGTGAAATTATAAGTCCAGTTTCCTCACGATGTTTTCCTTCACCGTCTGTAAGTACAATAATAAATTACGCGTAGTATAAACTGAAAATTATTAGTTTCATTTAAATGAATGAAGATCTTGTTAAAGATATTTGTTTTAAAAATATTTCATATTTTATTGACCCTCGCAGCTAAAATAAACGTATTTTAAGTTTAATAATATGTGCTTTAATCTTTAGTAATACGTATAATATACAAATGTGAGGGCTAGATTGACTGAGAAAGTACTACATCTTTGTAACAAATTATAAAACATAATATACCTAATTAAATAGATAGGTACTACAGTATAATCTCAAAGACAATATTTGGAACAATTTTCTTTTAAAAGTTAATGTGATATATACGAAGTACATACATAAAAAATAATTGTAGTATTGTCAGTAATCTATACTAATATTATAAAGCTGAAGAGTTTGTTTGTTTGTTTGTTTGTTTGTTTGTTGAAAGCGCTAATCTCCGAAACTACTGGTTCGAATTGAATAATTCTTTTTGTGTTGGATAGTCCAGTTATCGAGGAAGGCTGTGGGCTATATAACATCACGCTACGACCAAAAGGAGCAATGATATAGTGGTAAAAAATTGTATCCTGAAAATTCTACGGGAACTCGATCATTTCGAAAACCCAGCAAGAACGGGAACTATGTGGGAAGAACCAAAAATCTGCCGTAAGTCACTATTCCACGCGGACGGAGTCGCGGCAAAAGCTAGTACAATTATATTGTATGTAGTGCTATTCAACAAATAATAATAATAATTACAATTAGTAACAGCTCCATCTAGCGTCCGGTAGCAATACTACCAATTTCCAATAACAGTCGGTGTTTACAAAGGAAAAGCGGCGGCCTTTTATTAAATGTAGTTACAAAATGAAATAGTAATAACTAAATATACCTATATATTTTTTAAAGCTTATAATGTTATTGTTTTTTTAATAAATATATTTTATGAATTATATTATTTAAATAATTTTATATGAAATTATCTTTTTTACTATATATATACTTATATCTAGATTACACGTATTTAAAATAATTATTTAAAATATTTATTATTAATAATAAATATATAGTTTTCTATATAATAAAACAATCAAAATATTAAATAACATCAATTATAAAATTATCAACTGAGAATCGAATCTGCTCTCACTACTAATAATAATATTTGGGTGTTTACGTCTGTCGGCTTCTTTGAAAAAGCCGAAAGTCGCAGTTCCGAAGGACAAACGAATTTAAAAAACAAAGAAAGAAATTCATTATCTTTAGTTGGTGCCAAGAGACGGTCACGAATAATTGAAGATTTGAGAAAGTTAAGAAGATTTTCAAGTAAGTAATTTATTATATTTAATTATGTTTGTTATATTAAAAATACATGGTGAATTAATAATACAATATATTATCAATATATTGATTGAATATAAGATTTTCGCGTGTACTTATTTAAACGGAATTAAGCTTTTTGGGATACTACGCGGGTTTTTATTATTTTATTACTACATAATAGATGTTTCATAGCGTCCGTCCGTGATCTAAGTTGCTGTAAGCTGTAAAGGAATCGAAATGTCGGGATTCTCTAGTTACAAAATAGCAAGAAAAAAAGAACGCGTTGAATCCAAAAAATTTTAAGTTTCATTTAAATGAATATATTATATTATATAGTTACTTGTTAAATATTCTACTATAGATTACATTAATTATATGTAAATAGTCCCGAGACATTGTTTTGCTATATTATTTAAAAGAAGTAAGTAATTTTAAACAGGTATATACTTAATATCAATTACTTATTATATATACACCTAATTTATAGAAATAAATTCTTTACATAAGTATAAAAAAATAGTTGTGGAATTTATATTGTTAAATTATTTTTTATTTATTTATAGAGCAATTAGAAATTTATAAAAGTTATGAAATTATTAGTTTCCGGTGTTATAAATTTCCGCTTTTGTTTTAATGGTGCAATTATTTCAAAATGGCTTCTTACTACTGTAGTAGAAAATGTAAATAAACATTAAAAATGTGATTTTATTTTGTTGTAGAAAGCAATGTTCCCTTCGAAGAGCACAATGGACTACATGAATGAAATAAATAGATTGTTTCCTAAATCGGAATCTTTTGGTAAGTGAATTAATTTATATCAAAATATATAACACAAATGAACTCCCTAAGTACGTAAAACTATACATAATTATAATCAGTTTTCTTCATATTTTATGTCTTTAAACTTGAAACAATATAATGCAACATTATTTCAATATTTTATGCAAAATTTAAATGTTTCATATTTTAATATAGTTTTCAATTTGTTGCAGAATCAAGGAATACGCCACAGAACTACAATTCTCCATTTCATACTGCGACTGCAAATAAATCATCGAGTTCTGCGGATTCTATATCACCAGAATCGTATTTTGATTTTACACTTTATAGACAAAATGATAATTATCTATCTAGAAATAGATGTGAGACGCCGCAACGTACATTTTTCGGATCCTCGACTAACATTAATGAAACTAAAACCTTTGAGTCTCCCAATAATATATACAACACGCCGATGTCGCCTCCAAATAGTATTTACGGCTCCCCTAATTTAAACATTTCACCCAGAAACATATTCGATCGTCAAAATATACATGAGACTAAAATTTACGAACCTACATTGGATTTGTTACTAGATGTGCCTAATTATAATATAAATGCCGAAACAAACCCCATACGTCGCAAACGTCCGATCGTAGGAAGAAAGATTCTTGGGAATTCACAGCAGGTACAGAAAAATGAATCAATATTTGACTTTCAACTGGAGCCACTACAAACACATGAACGAAATCAGAAAATTTATGAACTTTTTCCATCCGAGAGAAGTTATTTACCTTCAAACAACATTATCAAACAAACTGAAATATATAACACCGGTTTCATAAAAAATCCGTATAATCCAAGCCAACAACAACAAAATCCTCAATATAATACAGTAGATGGAAGCAATATGTATAAAATGTGTACGTTCTGTCGTAAAAATGGTGAAACTCCAGTCGTTTATATGACACATAATGTTAAGGAGAAAATAAGCAATCGGCATATAGTAACCTGCCCTATACTGAGATCACACAAATGTTCAACTTGTGGTGCCTCTGGAGATGATGCTCATACTATGTGAGTATAAAAACATATTTATTCTTATTTCATAAAACAAAATATCATCATTCAATGTATTCATATGCGCGTGTCGGGTCCATCGTTGTAGTGAGAGGAGCTTCAACAGTGACTGGGACTTGCGACCCAGGTGTAGGTTTAATATATATAGAGAGACGAAACCTCTCATCATTCAATGTATTCACGGTGTGTGTGTCGTGTCCATGGTTGTAGTGAGAGGAGCCTCAACAGTGACTGACTTGTGACCCAGGTGTAGGTTTAAGGGTCCTCTGTCTATTATTTCCATTACACATATGTATTAGAGAATTTCATATGTAGATAACTAAAATAAGCTTAAATATCCATGTAAATTGGAATTATAGTATTTTTTGTATATAAAAATTGTATATACATGTACATAATTGTTGTATAGAAATAGCTTATATATTGTCTATTGTAAAAATTTAATCATGATATTTTTTTATTATATTAAAAGAAATTTTTATATTTTTTCCAGTACATACTGCCCGGTGCTAAGACGTTCAAATAATGGCAAACCATTACAATCTACAACTATAACATTGAAAAATACAAGAATTAAGAGTAATGGAAGAAGACGCTACTAAAATTCTACTATTTCTACCAATAAGTAGTAGATTTATGAACAAATACATAGTTTAAACAAAGTTTAACTCTTACAATGACTGCTAATTAACATTAACAGTTAAATTTAACCATAATATTAACCGATATCAATAGAAGTAAGTTTTCAATGTTACTTAAATAATTTTTATAATAATTTTACTATTTTTGATATCCCCTTTTTACTTATATCAATATTTTTGACTAAATTTTTATAATTTTCTATGGACATTTTTATTATTGACAATTAAAATTTAAATCATGCTATTGACTATATGATGCTCATCAGAATTTTAAAATTTTGACAATATTTTTAATTATAACAAGATTATGACTGAAAATATGAGGATTGAAACCAAAAAAGTTTTTATATATGACTATAAAACCACTTTTATTTGTTAATTTATAGGCTTAAGTGTTTTTAAAGCATAATTTTAAATGTTTTTCTTAGATTTGTAAGCTAAATTAGGATAGATGTAATGGTTATAAAACTATTTAATTATGTAGTTTTGAAAGAATTCTTTTATATGTAATTGTTTTAATGGCCTTATAATATGGCAAATAATTTGAACACTTGATTTTTTAATGTTTTATAATTCTTAGTTTTATTATTATGTGGTATTAAGTTAACAAAAAAATGTATGTCCAAAAAGCTATGTACAATTTAATATTTAGAATATCTCAAATTGCACTTTAAAAAAGTCTTATGTAGTGTTTTGCAATGTAAATATGTAGTTGAAAAGAATTTAATTAGTAATATGAATTCTTTTATATGAAGTTAGGTTTTATATAAACAGAAAAAATGTTTTTTGTTCAGTTTTTTGATGATTTTAATTACTTGAAGAAGTTTTTAAGTTTCAATTAATGTTTTAAGTCCATATGTTTTAGAAACTGCAAGGATTGTTGACAATTTTAAATATAGTCTATTAAATTTTTGTTGTGTTTTTTATTACTTATTAAACAAATTTAAATTGAAGGTATCAATTATCACACTTTACATATATATATTGGAATTCAGGTCATTTTGTTTCATTAATATAATAAAACTAATTTTAACTTTATAATAGGTCAGAGTTAAGGATGTGTTAATAGTTCAAGTTGATAGTACTTTATAAATATAATGTTTTAAAATAACTGCCATCTCACAGTATAAATAATAACAATTTTAGTAATTTAAATCATATCCTAGAAAACTAGGAAATAGCAGAGTAGGTATAACATCAAATTTACAGTTTAATTATTTTTTATGGGAAATAAAACTAGATGCTATTTTGACAAGTCATTCTTAGTAAAAAGACTTGTCTACAACATTTTTTTTAATTAACAAAAAGGATCTAGATATATTCGATCCAATATATAGGTATATTACTAGAAAATAGTTTCGCATTTTTCTCGCTACGCTTCAAGAAAAACAAAAGCTCTATGCGATTTGAATGTAGGGATCTCAGTGATTCAATACCCTGTTATTTGACATTGGTTAGGTTATCTGTATTAAAATTGAAATTTGTGGCCTCTTAATATTTTTATATAACACGCACTGGATAATTGGGCTATCGAACAAACAAAAACTAGACGCGATAGGACATACATTTACCGAGATCGTCTCCGTAGATGAATGATCTGTATATTCTTGGAGATAAATTCAAAGCGATTTTCTAATAAAATTAAAACTTTCAATTTCAAATGCTTTCGAAACACAACTGATACGAAATATTAAATAATCCAGTTTATTCTATAGAATGTTTGGTTTTAAAAACTGAAACCTCTGTGTAATAAGCTTTCAAGTTAATTAACCTTGATCAGTTTAATTAGAAATCCAGAGTTATTTTAGAAACGAATTGATTTTGTCAATAAATTTTTGGAAATCGTCATAAGATCTTTTCTACAAACATTCGTATTAAAACATATAAGATACTTAGTTAGTTACTTTAATACATTTCATCTTTAATTATATTTTATACCTAAGATAAAATATCGTTTTCCATTCTATTATTTATTCTATTTGAGTTCGAATAACACGTTTCGTATAAAGGAAAGAAGGAAAGAGCCAAATGTATCAACTATTTTTAGTTTCATCTCACGGTCATAACGTTTCAGTATATTTTGCGTCGTGTTATAGGCCTGTAGAGAATTAGTTGAATTCTTGCCTCTGAAAATAAAAATAATTTTGAATTTAATTGTTTTCAAAATGGCGCCATATGATTGGGCTGTTGATACAGAGAACTATCCGGTTATGCGTATAGTTACACCCAGGAATGTTGTTATGCGTGGAATTTTTGGAATGTAAGTAATTTTATAAATTAATAATAATTAACGATGCAAGTATTAATGTACTTTAAAAATAATAATGTAGCTACTAATACTAAAATTCTTATTGAATTACGTATCGTCTGCGATTATAAAAATAATTTAAATTATTCCATATTAAACAAAAATAAGAAAATTTAAAAAGCATTTCAATTTCAAGCTGTCAATAAAATTAATTCAACAATTTTTATTAAAATAAGTTTCTAAGCTTAACAGACTCCGTAAATGCCAATTGTCAAAAAAGATCATTAAATGTCACATTCGGTTTTCAAATGTCTCGAATCTAAAAGGACATTTCCGTAATCAGTTCTCATCAAAATACAAAATAGTAAACAGTTCCGTCATGCACTTCTAATAAGAACAAAAAAACGACTATCCATATAAAAATTCCAGTAAGAAATTAAAGTAACGAAAAATGAGTAAAGTATCAGTAAAATCACCCCCAACCTCGAAAAATTCCTTAGACAAGAGTGATACTAGTGTTAAAGGTTTAAATGAAAACGAAGATCCTTCTACGACACCCGATTTTATTTACGGGGGTCCATTTATTAAAGTTCAGAGGCCGGAGTTTATGGATATAGCGACGCCAATAAACGTACAGCTACAGGGAACCTATAAAAGGTTTGTTTTATTGCGTATTTGTCTAGTATTAATCTTTTAATAGCGTTAATAAAAGATAAAGATTGTTAATAATTATAATTATAATTGGATAATGTAAACAATTTATGGAGATATAAGAGTACAATGGGTTATAACTTATAATTTTATTTTATGCAAAATTTTTATAATAAATTAAGAACACTATACAAATATTGTAAATTTTCCCTTTTTTATATTTTACTGTATTTGTTTATTTAATAAGTTGATATTTATCGTGGAAAATATGTCATTGAAAAACTGGATTTATTATATAATAAGCAAGTGTACAACATGCAAGGTTTTATATATAAATAAGACAAATATATGTAGAAAAAGCATTAATATACTTAAAATTTAAACTTTCTCGCTATGCTATGGTGTTATTTACATTTTAAACTCAGTCTTCACAGCCCGGATAGCTCAGTCGGTAGAGCATTGGACTTTTAATCCAAGGGTCCAGGGTTCAAGTCCCTGTTCGGGCGGCTACTTTTTTCTTTTTTTTTTAATTTTCTAAATTTATTAAATATTCTTTATTATAATATATTTTTCACGTAAATAATACTTAAATATCCTTATGTGATTTATTTTTTGTTTTTGATAACTCGTAATTGTAAATGCAAATAAAAATTTTACTCCATTTAAATTACTATTTTTAACAGTTTTTTTTTCATAATTCCAGGAGTTTTGCGTATCATTCCTTAAAAGAGAGGTTTCCGGTCATCCTTACGAAAATTATAGATTACCTTTCGCGAGAGGGCTCTAAAGTTAAATCTGCTAATAATGCCGTAAGTATATATTTCAATGGATATAAAATCATATCTTTGTAATATATTATGTATATTATCGAAGTGAAACTTCTAATGCTTTAACAAGGTTGCGTTAAACATTCAACGCAACTGGGGAGGGGATGGAAAGAGATTTAACGAGAGTAAGGGTCAATTGTGTATTGTAAGCAATGCTTATAAAGTTTGTCTTAAACATACAATATCAGTTCCATAAAAATGGTTAACCCATTTTCTACTATCATTTAAACTATAATTTTCACTTATTCCACAAGATAGACTATTATTTTATTTTTTTGTTTCAGTCCGAAGACGATATTCGCAGTCTGATACAATATATAGTTAAATTAAAAAATGATGTAGCGACAAATAAGAAGTACGACTTGCTCACTGTCGATACGCCGGAAGCGAGGAAATGGAATGAATGGATATTAAATGTTGATAGTCCATATTATTTTACCAATACATGGGTTTTTTCTGAATGTTATGTTTATAGGCGACTAAGGGAAGGCTGTGAATTAACGTTAGTATATATATTTATATTATATTTTATATAACTATTATATATATCAATTTTCATATAAGTCTGTAAGAAATAAATAGATAAAGTATATTTGGAATTTTCAAGCCATCATCAACATATAATCTAATTAGTGATTACAAAGCATTGTGCAATGTACACATTTACATAAGTTCATATATAAAATTACATATTAACGATTACTTAGATAAACAAGATTTTAGTATATTAAAAATTGTTTTTTATTCGAATAAATTTAGTATTAAAGATGAACTAGATGTCGCTGCGTTCTTTAATTTGAATTTATTTTATTCGCTAGATAGCGCTGTTACTAAATTCGTAATATAAATCGTTATATATCAATTTCATTTAATTACGTATTTAATATTATGTTTTTAATATATTAAATATGTTTTTTATAGCAAGGGTTTAGCAAACTTCGATCCGTTTGAAGATCAGAAAGTTCAATCTTTCAATGGGGCGTTGGAACCAATGTGTGTTGTAGCGGAGAAGGTTTTAACTATGTTGGATCCTTCGGACAAAGATAAACGGAAAGCTGACTTTATAATGTTACTTAAGGTACTTATACATATATACACTAGAAGACCCGGCGAACTTCGTATCTCCTTATAATCAAGAAATATCTGTTACGTTTTTTATTTACATATTTGGAGTTTACCTATTAAAGCCATAAATATCCGTGTTTTGAAGTGCGACAGAATGATTGACATATTAGTTATTTGTCAAATCTAATATAAAAAAAAACGTTTGAATCAACAACTACTAATAAATTAGAAATTAATCAAAAAAACATTGTCCAGCGGACAAAATTGTGAATCTAAACCATTCCCAGATCCCCTTGAACACACACAAAAAATTTCATTAAAATCGGTCCAGTCGTTTGAGAGAAGTTCAGTGACATACACACTCACACAAGAATTATATATATAAAGATATATATATATATGTTAATGCTGACAGATGTTTTTCGAGAAATCAATTCCAATATAGTTTCTGTACATGTATTTGGCATACAGTAGAAGCTCTTTATTCGCGTTGTATGTGTTACATAAATATGCCACGAATAGAAGCCGTGAATACGGAATGGTAATTTATATGGGATTATAGGGGATACGTTCCTAAGTGACAAAAAAAAACAACAAATATATAAAAAAATATATTTAATTGAAGTTTTTGAACATTTTAATTATCTTAAGGCTTAGGCAATGGTTTGAAGAATTTTATAATTTTTTCTTGCTTGGCAGTTTCTAAAAGGTCTTTCAATTCAGACTGATATACAGAAACCGAATTAGCAATTTGCTTCTTAAAAATGTGACAGATCCATAGTAAAGTTGTAATAAGATCTATTTTACTTTTTTATTAGTCCATATAACAAGTATATTGTGTTAGATACTTATTGGAATAATTTTAGTATTATGTATGTACTTATTAGATCCGCGAAAAAAGAAATGTTTTAGTCGCGAATATAGGATTTGGGTAGAATTTTTTGAATCAGCGAATAGTGAAAACGTGAATAAGCTTCTATTGTACTATATATTCTTTAAGAATTTTTTGTATATGTTCTCGATATATATATACATATTGGAATATGTTATTCTATAAGTCGATTTAAATCTAGTTTGTGTACATGATTTTTACATACTATATCTTCTATAAGAATCTACTCATCTATTCTTGGATAACAAATATCTATCAATTTGGATAATATTACTTACATTACCTTTATATGTTGTAATAATTTAATATATTATGTTTCAGTTGTGTCTATGGTCTAATAAGTGTGATCTATCATTGTCTATGGGTGAGCAAGTGACGTTAGGTAACAAGGATGTTGATAAAAGTCCTTCTCAAACACTCATTGATCCTATACAGATGATTGTAGATTTAAAGGATAAGGTCAGTTATATTAATTAATATTAAATATTTAATTATTCAATACTATCAGCGCCCCGCGGTGTTACTTTGATTTCCGGGATGCAAAGTAGCCTACGTGTTATTCCTGGACGTCAGCTTCCTGTATACAAAATTTTATCAAAATCGGTTCAGCTGTTTTAGCGTGAAGAAGTAACAAACATACACACACACAAACTTTAGCAATCATAATATTAGTAGGATTAAATATTTATAAATAAACTTATCTATTACTCACAACTAACTGATATTTATGTGAAAATATTAATATATATATGTTATTTCTAATATTGATATGTTATTTAATTAATTTATTTGTGATATTTTCAGGTGTTAGTGGACGATTCAAATAAAATCAGTGACCAAGTTGTGTCAAAGGCTGAAAATATAGCTAAAGCTATTGAGGCGGTAAGATATATATAATTATAAGAAATTAATATATTATATAACTGATTGACGGGATTGTATCAAGATTATAATCGTTTAATAATAATTATTACTATATTTTGTGAAAATTAAGTGAAAATACAACATAAAAACTTGATTTGTTTAAAGTTACCTCATACAGAAAATAAATGGCGTTGTTCGTTTAGATATTTACATGTTTTGAAGTCTACAAAGATAAAGTCGGGTAGGAAATCTAGTATATTGAATATGATATATTTAAATTACTAAAAAATATTAAATCAAATTTCTTTTTTCTAGTAATCTTTACTTATGAAAATATCAATAAATCATATTGTTCAAGCTTTATATTTACCATTATTATTAATTAAAATATATGTTATATAGCTACTGAATTAAATTATATCTATATACATATAATTATAATTTCAGAACACAACATTCAAAGCTAAATGCAGTTGTCAACGACTTGCCGGAGTTCCACCTGCACCGGTAAATACATACATACATATATATCTTATTCCTGGCAATTACCTAGCTTTAGCCAGTATCTGCCAATATATATATAGAATCATGATAGTAGTCATAATGTAGTATATAGAATTATACTATAATAGAAAATATACGAACCAAGTAGTAATAATATTAGTATTTTAATATTGATATATTAATGTATTAATGTTATTTAAACTTTTATATATAGAAACAAGAGAAACAAGAAAAACAAGAAAAACAAGAAAATAAAGAAGAATCAGAAGAAGTTTCAGAAGAAAATGCTAAAGAAGAAGCTCCTATACCTTGCCCGGCTAAAGCGACTTTGCCTACTACTGTGATGTTTGGTTTGTGACTTATATATATACTAGCTGCGCCCCGCGGTGTTACTTTGTTTTCCGGGACGTAAAGTAGCCTATATCTTATTCCTGGACATCAGCTTCCTGTATACAAAATTTCATCAAAATCACTTAAGCCGTTTGAGCGTGAATAAGTAACAAACATACACACACACTCACAAACTTTAGCAATTATAATATTAGTAGGATTATTTAATATGTAACTAGTTTTTGCACGCGACTCCGTCTGCGTTAATTCAGAATTAGTAATAAGTACCAGGCGAACTCTATTGCTTAAAGTCAGTAAATGAAGAAATTTAGGATTTGATAAACGTTTTCTATCATATGATATGTCCTTTCTATGTTCTAATCTATCTCTCCACCAATTTTTATCCAAACTCGTATCCGTTTTTGAGTTATAAAAGTGTAACTAACACAACCTTCTTTTAGCTAGCTTTCCGCCCGCAGCTTCGCCCTCGGGGAGTTCGGTTATATCGCGTTTCCAAGAGAACCTTTCAAAAGTCTGGGATAAAAACTATCCTATGTTCTTTCTCAAGGTCAACTCTATGTCTGTTCCAAATTTCATTAAAATCAGTTCAGTGGTTTAGGCGTGAAAGCGTAACAGACAGACAGAGTTACTTTCGCATTTATAATATTAGTAAGGATATATGTACTAGCTTTAGCACGCGACTTCGTCTACGTTAGTTACAGAATAAGTAATGTATAGACCGAACGAACTCTGTTACAACTTACTTGAACTTATAATAAATGTATCGATAGTGTTAAAATCAAATTATTATTATCATATCTGTTTATTATTTTATATGTTACTAGTTTTTGCCCGCGATTTCCTCTGCATTAGTTTCAGAATAAGTAAAGTATAGACAAGGAGAAATCTATTCTTTGAAGACAGTATATAAGATTTTGGATTTGATAAACTTATTTTTGTCTTTTTCTATTGGTTGAAATGTATCCTATGTCTTTTCTATGTTCTGAGCTATCTCTCCACCGATTTTCATCCAAATCGATACAATCATTCTTGAGTTATAAATAGTGTAACTAACACAACTTTCTTTTATATACATAAAAAGATATTTGGGAGGTCTATTATTCTTTTATAATATGGATTTAAATGAAATTTTAAAGTAATATTGCTCACACATCATACTAACATATATTATAATATATAACAGTTGTATGTAGTGTGTAGTTACATCAATCAAACGGTAAATGTCGCTGACTGTCGATGAAATTATTTTTAATAATAATTCAAGTACCAATTACTCATATCTTTCTGAAAACAAAACAGACAAAGTCGCGTACAAAATCTAGTATGTATATGGTTAAGTTTCATTAAATAGTAAACATTGATACATTATAAGAAATACTCATTCTTTACTTCTAACAAAATAATTATAAATTAATTATTGTTAATATATTGTACACTATTCATATAACCCGCCAGTCGTTGTAGAGGCGTGGTGGGTTATTCACTAATGTTTTTATATTTCAGATATAGTATGTGATAACTCCGGTTATGAACTGTTCACTGACTTGTGTCTCGCTGACTTTTTGATATCACAGAATATCGTTAAGAAGGTACTAAAAATATTGTTATATGAATTATAGATTAATAATTTAACGCAACTTCTTACGCGACGTACAAGGTTGCGTTAAACGTTTAACGCTGAGGAAGAGAGAAAGAGAGTCGTTAGATTAAAAGCACATGAATATAGTATTCTTGCTATACATCAATCGTCAAATAAACTGAAATATTTGTAATAATGCTTGTTCTATATAATAATCATATTTTTTTTTAGTTTGATTTGATAAACATATAATTAAATAGGGCTGTATTTTATTTTCATATTTTATTTTTATAACTATCACTTCTTCTCAGAGGGACATACAATGTTTTTTATTTTCTTTCATATTTATATACATTTTATTATAATTATTTTTCATTTATATGTCTCCAGGTCAGATTTCACGTAAAGAAGATACCTTGGTTCGTGTCTGACGTCACTCCCAAGGATTTTAAGTAAGAAATTAAATTATTATTATTATATGTAATACAGAAATTACATGTACCTATATAAATCAGTTCAATTGCTAATAAATTACATCAAAATTGTCACAGTCATAGTTAAAGGAAAAGATCTTTTTTAATAACATATATCGTACTAGCTTTCCGCCCGCAACTTCGCCCGCGTGGAGTTCGGTTATATCGCGTTACCAAGAGAACCTTTCAAAAGTGTGGGATAAAAACTATCCTATGTTCTTTCTCAAGGTTAACTCTGTCTCTGTACCACATTTCATTAAAAGCGTAACAGATAGACAGAGTTACTTTCGCATTTATAATATTAGTAGAGATATGATTAATATTAATTTTATAATATTAATGTAATGTGTGAACTATTTTCAGTTTCGTTATAAACCAGTGTAGTGGGGCGAGCTTCAATAAAGTTATACAGTTACCGGCAGATGGAGGTACGCACATACATTGTAATATATAAATTAGTACATAACTTCTACAATTGTGATTATTTCCTACAAACAATGACAAACTATCTATTAATATTCACAGCGCCATCTATATTTCTAATAATTAAACTTATTTTTGTTAAAATCAGCGCCATCTATATTTGTAATTATGAAACAATTTTACTGCACAAATATTTAAATCATACAGCGCCATCTATTTTTCTAATAATGAAACATAATTTTGAAAGTGTAATTTTTATAAAATTCAGCGCCATCTATATTTACAATATAGAATCAAATTTTCATATAAATAATACATATTATACGTAGATCATGCTGAGGGTGAATCCCCTACAAGGACAGTTTCTGACGAAGCTTTGAAGACCCTCGGGTCACGGTGGGCTCAGTATGTGGAAAATGGAACATTTGTAGTTATGGTGAGAATAACATACATACAACATATATTACACATACTACTGCTCCCCGCGGTGTTACGTTGATTTCCGGGATGTAAAGTATACTATATGTTATTCCTGGACGTCAGCTTCCTGTATACAAAATTTTATCAAAATCGGCTCAGCCGTTTGAGCGTGAAGAAGTAACAAACATACACACACACTCACAAAGTTACGCAATTATAATATTAGTAGGATTACACCATAATGAAAGATTATATAAATACATTTGATGTGATATTTCAATTTTCTTTTTGGACTGTTGACATTATTCATATACAAAGTGCTTATTAAAGAAAATAACATGTTAATTATCCAACAGTGTGACGATTTCTGGACATCACCCCACGTGTATAAAGACATGAAGAAATACGAACCGAATCTGTACCGGAAGTTACAATTCGCGGCCGCCATCTTGTTTAAAGGAGATCTCAACTACCGGAAACTGTTGGGAGAAAGAAACTGTAACCCATGTTTAGGATTTGATCCCGCCTTACAAGGTATATAAAATACATCACAATAGAGTTATATGTATGTATATATGTTACATAGTAATGTCTAAACTACAAAATGGTTTAAGAATCTATTAAAAGAAATTTAGTCTTAACCATAATGGTCACAAAATGTTAGTCATTCGGAAATTCCTTTTAAAATTATCAAGAAAATGTTTTAATGTTGTCTTTGCGTAACTATTAGACAGATTTTTCTTAAGGTTATAACAATTCATAAGAAATACGGTTGTAAATTTATTTATTAAAATTTGTAATTTACATTGATTGAAAAATAAGTTATCATGAAATAAAATTTTAAAAAATAACATAAAATTTATATAAAGACTTGTAAAAAACTTGTTTTATATACCGAATATAAATTTCGTAACCTCGTTCGTAGCCCGGATAGCTCAGTCGGTAGAGCATTGGACTTTTAATCCAAGGGTCCAGGGTTCAAGTCCCTGTTCGGGCGGCTTTTTTTTTTCATTTTTTTATTATAATTTTATTATCTATATAAAGAAATACATGCGAATATAATAATTATTATAATTCTTGTAGAAAAAAGATTTTTTTTTAGATATATAAAGAAAGATATGAGAGAAGATATATAAAATTTTCATGTCTCAATATTAGTACTCCTTCGAAACGGCTTTACAGATTTTTACCAAATTTTATATGCGTATTCAGTAAGTCTGAGAATCGGCTAGTATCTATTTTTCAGACCCCTAAGTGATAAGGGTTGTTAACCTTTAAATATAGATATATTTTTATTTTTTTTATATGTATTTTTATCATGTCACATTTAAAAAGTACATAAAATCCTAAATTTTTACTTTTTTATTACCAACCTCTATTTTTTATATGCAAAACTAAATTTGCTGGGTCGGTTAGTATATATATATATATATATATATATATATATATAAATTTATATTATATGTATGTTTGTAGGTTTCATCCCAGCTCCTATAATCGCTGTAAGGACAGTTAAAGCAGATCTCATCTGTGGCTTACCGAAGGGCAAGTGGGAACAACTCACTAAGATCGATGATAGGTGGATGGAAACTGGAAATTATGGGTATATATATAAAGAATACTATCTTTATATATATATAATTCTTCTGTGAGTGTGTATGTCACTGAACTTCTCCCAAACGACTGGACCTATTTTGATGACATTTTTTGTGTATGGTCAAGGGGATCTGGGAATGGTTTAGATTCACAATTTTGTTCGCTGGACAATGTTTTTTTAATTAATTTTTAATTTATTAGTAGTTGTTGATACAAACGATTTTTTTTGACATTACACTTGACATCTAACTAATATGTCAATCATTCTGTCGCACTTCAAAGCACGGAGATTTATGGCTTTAATAGATAAACTCCAAAAATATAAATAAAAAAACGTAACAGATATTTCTTCATTATAGGGCGATACGAAGTTCGCCGGGTCTTCTAGTGTATTATATAATATAATAATAGTTTGTTTCAATATAATTTTGTTTACAATGTGTCTGGGGCATATTTTTAAGTAACTGCTTGTGTTATGACACTATAATCATTCATTACAATTATCAATGCCTTTGAAACATCTTTTGAGCTGTTCATATATGAACATTTTAAAATATTATAGTTTGTTTACATTAATATGACATTATTGTATTCAATTGATCTCCTTTACCTTTACTTTTTGTCTATTAATAATAAATTTTAACTTTATCATTTTGATTTAAATGTGTTATTGTGATTTTTGTAATTTATTAGCTGAATTTCATAATTGAACCTTGATGCCTAGTTACTTGTTGCGTAGTTTCAAGTAATTTTTTTAAATTAAAGATTCTCACACTATTAGTCTTTGGATTTGCAGATAACAGGATTTCAACTGAAATTGGAATATTTTCTTATCGTGATTCTTTCCTCGCACCCTTTATAAATCCTTATTGTCTAATTTAGTTTATTTTGCAATCCAAAGTCTTCCTTAATTTCACTATTGCATTTTTGGTACATTTTTAATTATTATAACGTTGGTTTTCGAGCCGCAATTTAAAAGTCTTCCATTTTATTCTTTAGAATTGTTACATTTTTATTTTCCTTATCTCAATTTTCAAGTGAAGAGATTTTGGGAAAAAAACTAGTTACGTATAAAATAAAATAATAAACAGAAATAATGATAATTTGAGTTTAACAATATCATACATTTATTGTAAGTTTAATATGCAAATAGATTTTTCTATATACATTATTATATATATTTCCAGTGTGATTCAGTTCTGTGGTAAGGCGGAGGCTCTCAAAGTGTCTGACAAGCCTTGTGAACAATACGGAGACACGTGCACTGACGACGCCTGCCTCGACATGGATATAGTGTGACGGAACACACATACAGACATATAGAAGGTATACACACACATACAGACATACATACACTCACACATATATATACAGTCTTCTTCTACCTGGCAATTTCCCAGCTTTAGCCAGGGTCTGCCTTACATGTTGTGAATAGTTTTGGCTAATTGATTTTTATGACCGGCCGCCCTACATCAACCCTCTTTGGGAATCAACATTAATCAGTGATGTCTAAATATTTTTATAAAGTACATATGATTCGGAAAAATCACATTGGTACTTTTTAGGATCGAACCCGCGCCCTCATGCATGAGAGGCGGTCCCTCTAACCATTACGCCACCACTGACTTACACTTATATATACAGTGTAGATACAAATATCTGCAAAATTATGATTAAAAAAGAATAAAATGTGAAACTTCTTTGCACTGTTCGTGATACGACGTTCGTTTTTAGTAAATTAAATAATTCAATTATTATTTTTATAGTGTCTGTTAATCTTTGTGTATTGATCTTATATTTTTCTTTTCAGATTCGTTCGGGACTCGTTTTTCGTTATTATCATGAAATTAATATCATTTATCGCTTTTAAAGCAAAAATTTTACAAATTGTTTAATAAAAAAATATCATATAGTATTGTGTGTTTTATTCAGTTACTACTTAGTAACTACAAAGTTACTGAACAAACATTACTTCAGTCTTCGTAAGATTTTTTCAAGTACATTCTTACGTATATCTGCCAGTGGACTAATATAATGAGTAAGTTAAGTTGAACATTAATTGAATATGTATATAATAATCTTCTTACCTTTGCCTGATTTTTGGTACATCAATAAGTGTTTTGTAGTTTCTTACATATTTTTTACAAAATTGAGAATCATCGATACTATATTTACGAAATATTTTTATGAAAGACGCCATCTAATTGTTGTCAGAGAAATTAACTCAGTTCCAGTGTGAATAAAGCCAAAACATAGAAAAAAAAGATTTAATCAATACGTATTTTCATTATATTGGCTAAAGATTTTCTTTTTATGGGTTAGACTTTAATGACCAACAAAATGCTGATTTACAATATATTTCTGAAGTCATTATAATAATATCAACTAAATAATATTCCAATGTTTACGTTGCCTAAAAAATCGATTCAATTGATATACTTAAAGATAAAATATTAAAAACTTCTTTGTGTAGTTGCTGGACATAACCAAACAATACATATTCTGTCTTTTAATTTACTTTACAGAATACTAAAAAATATTAGGATATATTTTATTTCAAAGACAATGTAAGTATATTTTAAGGACACTTAAATAATTTAGAACCCAAGAATTAAAATTCCATCATAAACAAAAGTGCATTTTATTTACATTTATTAAAAAACCTTACCTGTCACATTACATTAATAACCACTACATTCATAAATAATAAAACTAATATTATTTTATTTACATTCAGCCTTAATTTATATTATATATCATGTGATACATGTCAAAACATATCAATAATTCATGACAAGTTGCTCATGATGTTTAATATAATAAATATTAATTTACATATAATTATTATTTGATAATAATGTTATTCTATCATATAGTGTCATGATGTGTATATAATATATATGATAGTGATATTAATCATTGGTTGATCGCGACCCAACCGCTAGTACCGTCTGGGAGCTCTACTGGCAGCAAACGAAGACCACAAGACTGAAAACAAATAAACAAACATATATATCGGTATATATATAATATAAGTCGACCGAAATACTTTAAGAGAGGATAGATTCCATAATTCCTAATCGATTTAACTACGGAACCCCATATACCCCATTTACTGAACACTCTTATGTTCCTATTTTATATTGATGGGTCCTATGTATAAGTGACAGTGTAGTAATTTAACCATTTTAATATTTTTTTTTAATGTTAAGTAAAAGAGTTTTTAGTTCGAAAAACATTCATATAATACATATATTAATTAATTATAGTTTTGCTGTTTGTCTTAATCTTTCGTTTGTGTTATAATCAGATGACATATCAAGATTAGTTTAAAAAGAGATAGTTAAAACTTATTAAATTAATGTGTGTTTTTAAGTTTTTTGTGAATTTAATATATTATTATTAATGGTGAAATTGTATTGAATATTATTTGTTATTAATATATATTACCTGTTGATCTGTCAATTGATCAGTAGTGATGTTGTCTAATAATGAACTCTCAGTTTTATCTTCAATATTGTCTGAAATAAAAATATTTTATAATTATAATAATATATAATAATATTATTAAGTCTATTTGTTTATATATCCAACTTACGCAATGTTAATAAAGTTGAACCTTCATTTTCGTTGACCAAATCCATTGTTTTACCTTAAAATTAATCAATTAATAAATTAATCATGTAATAAATGATTTTAAAATATATATGTGTTAGTAATAATCATACCGTCTTCTAGAATAAGTTTTTTGTTGTCCGTGAAAAAGAATTTGGTCGTTTCTCCGTCTGTTGTAACTGAAATAGAAAAAAATAATAATTAAAATATAAAATTATGTCAATACATTAATTGTTTACTATAAGAAACAGAAAATTACCTTATTTTTACAATTACTTAATTTAACTTATATGGACACTAATTTTATTATGTATTTAAAAAATATTTTAAAATTTATTATAAAAAATAAATCAAAACCTAGAAACGAAATAATCATTTTTTATGTACATAATATATTTGTGAATGTATTTATTAAATTACTGAGATTTGTTTAACCATCTTTTGGTATATTATGCACAGAGTTATTGATAATATAATAAAACATCAAAATGATTTAAAATAATAATATGTTCTAATATATAACATATGTAATTATTTACCAACTGATTTGCTTGCATCCAATTCTAATTCTTCTGTTACTTCATATATCTGTAAAGTATATTAAATTAAAGGAAATTATTATTATAAAAATTCACATTAAAACTTCAAAGAAATTAAAAATACTTATAAACAATAACATACCGTGTCATTAAATTTGTCTGTTTTAGCTGAATCTTCACTCGCTGGCGTCTGAAATGACATAAAATTATGAAGACTTCAATATAATATATATCATATTACTATGTAATAAACTAATTATTTACCGTATCCACTACGCTTGTGACTCTCGGTTGATTTACTACTATTGACTCCGCCAAATGTCCCTGAAAAAATATAATAAACATATATATGTATATATGTGTATTCTATGTATATATTTTATATAATCGGCAAACTGCAATCGTTACACACGTCGAGCTAGTTTTATCGTTCTACTCAAGATACGTACAAATTACAGTAAAACAATGATCACCTTTGAAGAGGCAAAACTATACAATAAACTAGCCACAGATATAAAAAATGTAAACTCATTACTGTATTTAAAAAAGAACTTGCTGAGTATATTTTAAATAATAAATAATTAAAACTAAGACAATACATTAAATTACTAATTAATATAGAAAAATGTCTCTTAGTTAAGCGTTATTTTATTTCATTTTTGTTACAAGTGTGATGTCAAACTGTATTAATAAATGTTTTGTTATAAGTGTAATTCTCATGTAAGTGATAATAGTGTTTTAAGGGGAATAAATATCTTAAACCATACCCAAGCCGACTTAGATATATCACACACAAGTAACAATGAGTAACTTAAATACGATATAGTAATTTAATATCAGCGCCATCTATCGTCTGGCTCACACATTCCTACAAAAAAATCATTGTTTCTTTTGTTTCGTTTGGAATATCTGAATATTTGTGTGTGTGTGTGTGTGTGTGTGTCTGTCTGTGTGTGTGTGTATATATACTCACGCTAGTGTTCATATGTTGGTACAGCAGTTGTTTCCTCATATATCCGGCCCCACAGACCACACACTCGTACGGCTTACGGTCGCTGTGTACGAAGCGGTGAGTATTACGATTGTCTCGAGAATTGAATGTTTTACCGCAAACCTAGTGAACAATAAGTTTTAATTTATACTTAATTAATTTTTTTTTTGTATGTATATTATATTTTATGTGATATTTAATACGTTATCAATTAATTTAATCTTCTAGCGTAAGATTAAGAAATCTATAAATCGAAGAAAATAAAAAACGCGTATTAAATCCGAAAATGTTAGTTTCATTTAAATGAGTACTCGCGAAATTCATCTCAATTCTAATCTCTTCTATATATTAATGTATGTATAATCGCCAATGTAACAATTTAGCCATTTTAATTTTTCTGTTTCAAACACTTCATAATACTGTATTATACAACATCCATTTAAAATAATGCGTATTTCTTAGTGGTTACAGTTTTTATTGCAGTAACAGGACGTAAAAAAATTTAATTTTTCACATTGGCCCTTATACATTACCTAAATCTATTTAATATTATATTCAACAATAACCTAAATCTATTTATAAAATAATTGGTTTCAATTAACAGCCAATATTAGTGATTAAATCTATATTCTTATTCATTATTTAGTTCCTCACTTCCCCAGTTTATAATTTCATTTAATTTTTCATTACATTTTTATTGCTGTAACTTGTTCATATTTTTCTATGTAAATATTCTTTCTATTTATTGTAAATGTCATTTCTTATATGTATACAATGTATTTTTAAGTGCTGATGTACATATTTTTGATTTTGTAAGTGAAATATTTAGTCTATAATCTGTGTTCATATAGTTGTTGGGTTATATGAGTTATAATGTTTACTTATCAAATTAATTTTATCTTTAGCTGTAATTTATTTTGTGAACCGTAAATAAATAAATAAATAAATAAACATATGAGCCATATATATATATTTATACCTCACAAGAATATGGCCTCTCCCCACTATGTATTCGAGCGTGTTTCTTATAATGCTCGGGATACACGAACGTGGCGCGGCATACTTCACATTTGAGAGGTCGCTCGCCTGTGTGAGCAGCTTTGACGTGGTAGTCGAGTAGACTGGAAGAAATATATAGATATAATGAGATACATAGAGATAGAATGAGATTGATTTTAAATATAAACTAGCTAACCCGGAAGACTTCATACTGCCTCAATCGAGAAATAAATAATTTTTTATTTATATTTTTGGAGTTTACCTATTAAAGCCATAAATCTCCCTGTTTTGAAGCGCGACAGAATGCGAGATATTAGTTAGTTGTCAAATCTAATGTCAAAAAAAATGTTGTATGGGAAATAGAAAAGCGCTGTTTTTAGTGTTTTCTCGGAAATGAATCAATTTTTTTCAGCTCTTAAACCTTCCCTGAACCTCCACGAACATTTCAAGAATAAGATAAGATAAATCCGTTCAGCCGTTTTCAAGTTTTAGTGAGACTAAAAAACAGCAATTTATTTTTATATATACAAATAAGTTAAAAATGATAATAACAAAATGTAATAATTAACAAATAATATTAATTTCTATCTGATGTTAATTATGTAACTATGAACTCCCACCTTCTCTTAACAGAGAGTCCAAGTGCAGTTGCATTTAAACATCGACTTAAGAGACATCTTCTGTCACTTTTACCTTAATATAATATGTAATGTTTATCTATTTGTAAAGAAAGAAAATATGGTATGTATATTTTTTACTCTATGTATGAATAATATCAAAAATTTTTATCATTTTAATTTTGTTTGTATTCCTATACATTTACCTTTCTTTTTTTATTTTAATTTTGTTCTCTATTTTTAATGTACCTACATCACATTTCTTTTCTGATATCCTCTATCGAGATGGTTTCTTATCCTTTTATCTTTTATACATTACATTTCTTTTATAATACTATAATCATTTCCACTTTGGGTACATACATAAATATTTATTCATTCCCTCATTCATTTATATATGTGTTTATTTATAGTGAAAACCTCTGTTATACATTACCGCTCTAAAACACTGATTCAGTCACTCATTTTCTCATTCATTCATTTATTTATTGGGAAACTCTCTGATATACATACTTTACCGTCATCTCTTAAACACTTATTCACTAATTCTCTCATTCTTTCATTTATTTATTGGGAAACTCTCTGATATACATACTTTACCGTCATCTCTTAAACACTTATTCACTAATTCTCTCATTCTTTCATTCATTCATTTATAGTGAAACCCTCTGTTATACATTACCGCTCTAAAACACTGATTCAGTCACTCATTTTCTCATTCATTCATTTATTTATTGGGAAACTCTCTGATATACATACTTTACCGTCATCTCTTAAACACTTATTCACTAATTCTCTCATTCTTTCATTCATTCATTTATAGTGAAACCCTCTGTTATACATTACCGCTCTAAAACACTGATTCAGTCACTCATTTTCTCATTCATTCATTTATTTATTGGGAAACTCTCTGATATACATACTTTACCGTCATCTCTTAAACACTTATTCACTAATTCTCTCATTCTTTCATTCATTCATTTATAGTGAAACCCTCTGTTATACATTACCGCTCTAAAACACTGATTCAGTCACTCATTTTCTCATTCATTCATTTATTTATTGGGAAACTCTCTGATATACATACTTTACCGTCATCTCTTAAACACTTATTCACTAATTCTCTCATTCTTTCATTCATTCATTTATAGTGAAACCCTCTGTTATACATTACCGCTCTAAAACACTGATTCAGTCACTCATTTTCTCATTCATTCATTTATTTATTGGGAAACTCTCTGATATACATACTTTACCGTCATCTCTTAAACACTTATTCACTAATTCTCTCATTCTTTCATTCATTCATTTATAGTGAAACCCTCTGTTATACATTACCGCTCTAAAACACTGATTCAGTCACTCATTTTCTCATTCATTTATTTATTGGGAAACTCTCTGATATACATACTTTACCGTCATCTCTTAAACACTTATTCACTAATTCTCTCATTCTTTCATTCATTCATTTATAGTGAAACCCTCTGTTATACATTACCGCTCTAAAACACTGATTCAGTCACTCATTTTCTCATTCATTCATTTATTTATTGGGAAACTCTCTGATATACATACTTTACCGTCATCTCTTAAACACTTATTCACTAATTCTCTCATTCTTTCATTCATTCATTTATAGTGAAACCCTCTGTTATACATTACCGCTCTAAAACACTGATTCAGTCACTCATTTTCTCATTCATTCATTTATTTATTGGGAAACTCTCTGATATACATACTTTACCGTCATCTCTTAAACACTTATTCACTAATTCTCTCATTCTTTCATTCATTCATTTATAGTGAAAACCTCTGTTATACATTACCGCTCTAAAACACTGATTCAGTCACTCATTTTCTCATTCATTCATTTATTTATTGGGAAACTCTCTGATATACATACTTTACCGTCATCTCTTAAACACTTATTCACTAATTCTCTCATTCATTCATTCATTCATTTATAGTGAAACCCTCTGTTGTACATTACCGCTCTAAAACACTGATTCAGTCACTCATTTTCTCATTCATTCATTTATTTATTGGGAAACTCTCTGATATACATACTTTACCGTCATCTCTTAAACACTTATTCACTAATTCTCTCATTCTTTCATTCATTCATTTATAGTGAAACCCTCTGTTATACATTACCGCTCTAAAACACTGATTCAGTCACTCATTTTCTCATTCATTCATTTATTTATTGGGAAACTCTCTGATATACATACTTTACCGTCATCTCTTAAACACTTATTCACTAATTCTCTCATTCTTTCATTCATTCATTTATAGTGAAAACCTCTGTTATACATTACCGCTCTAAAACACTGATTCAGTCACTCATTTTCTCATTCATTCATTTATTTATTGGGAAACTCTCTGATATACATACTTTACCGTCATCTCTTAAACACTTATTCACTAATTCTCTCATTCTTTCATTCATTCATTTATAGTGAAACCCTCTGTTATACATTACCGCTCTAAAACACTGATTCAGTCACTCATTTTCTCATTCATTCATTTATTTATTGGGAAACTCTCTGATATACATACTTTACCGTCATCTCTTAAACACTTATTCACTAATTCTCTCATTCTTTCATTCATTCATTTATAGTGAGACCCTCTGTTATACATTACCGCTCTAAAACACTGATTCAGTCACTCATTTTCTCATTCATTCATTTATTTATTGGGAAACTCTCTGATATACATACTTTACCGTCATCTCTTAAACACTTATTCACTAATTCTCTCATTCTTTCATTCATTCATTTATAGTGAAACCCTCTGTTATACATTACCGCTCTAAAACACTGATTCAGTCACTCATTTTCTCATTCATTCATTTATTTATTGGGAAACTCTCTGATATACATACTTTACCGTCATCTCTTAAACACTTATTCACTAATTCTCTCATTCTTTCATTCATTCATTTATAGTGAAAACCTCTGTTATACATTACCGCTCTAAAACACTGATTCAGTCACTCATTTTCTCATTCATTCATTTATTTATTGGGAAACTCTCTGATATACATACTTTACCGTCATCTCTTAAACACTTATTCACTAATTCTCTCATTCTTTCATTCATTCATTTATAGTGAGACCCTCTGTTATACATTACCGCTCTAAAACACTGATTCAGTCACTCATTTTCTCATTCATTCATTTATTTATTGGGAAACTCTCTGATATACATACTTTACCGTCATCTCTTAAACACTTATTCACTAATTCTCTCATTCTTTCATTCATTCATTTATAGTGAAACCCTCTGTTATACATTACCGCTCTAAAACACTGATTCAGTCACTCATTTTCTCATTCATTCATTTATTTATTGGGAAACTCTCTGATATACATACTTTACCGTCATCTCTTAAACACTTATTCACTAATTCTCTCATTCTTTCATTCATTCATTTATAGTGAAACCCTCTGTTATACATTACCGCTCTAAAACACTGATTCAGTCACTCATTTTCTCATTCATTCATTTATTTATTGGGAAACTCTCTGATATACATACTTTACCGTCATCTCTTAAACACTTATTCACTAATTCTCTCATTCTTTCATTCATTCATTTATAGTGAAACCCTCTGTTATACATTACCGCTCTAAAACACTGATTCAGTCACTCATTTTCTCATTCATTCATTTATTTATTGGGAAACTCTCTGATATACATACTTTACCGTCATCTCTTAAACACTTATTCACTAATTCTCTCATTCTTTCATTCATTCATTTATAGTGAAACCCTCTGTTATACATTACCGCTCTAAAACACTGATTCAGTCACTCATTTTCTCATTCATTCATTTATTTATTGGGAAACTCTCTGATATACATACTTTACCGTCATCTCTTAAACACTTATTCACTAATTCTCTCATTCATTCATTCATTCATTTATAGTGAAACCCTCTGTTGTACATTACCGCTCTAAAACACTGATTCAGTCACTCATTTTCTCATTCATTCATTTATTTATTGGGAAACTCTCTGATATACATACTTTACCGTCATCTCTTAAACACTTATTTACTAATTCTCTCATTCTTTCATTCATTCATTTATAGTGAAAACCTCTGTTATACATTACCGCTCTAAAACACTGATTCAGTCACTCATTTTCTCATTCATTCATTTATTTATTGGGAAACTCTCTGATATACATACTTTACCGTCATCTCTTAAACACTTATTCACTAATTCTCTCATTCTTTCATTCATTCATTTATAGTGAAACCCTCTGTTATACATTACCGCTCTAAAACACTGATTCAGTCACTCATTTTCTCATTCATTCATTTATTTATTGGGAAACTCTCTGATATACATACTTTACCGTCATCTCTTAAACACTTATTCACTAATTCTCTCATTCTTTCATTCATTCATTTATAGTGAAACCCTCTGTTATACATTACCGCTCTAAAACACTGATTCAGTCACTCATTTTCTCATTCATTCATTTATTTATTG